GCCATAGTTGTATCAGATATTAAATGTAGGAGAAATGGTGAAGCATATACAAGACCTCCCTGTACTATTTTTACTTTTCTGTAGATTTTAAGTTATTCTGAAATAATTTTATTTTAAACTTATGCACAAATTATCCCCCAGAGACAAGGCTAATTTTTGCCCTTACCTCGTGTGATGATTATGGTTATTTCATCTTGAGTACCCTGGCATAAGTGATAAATATAGTCACAACAGCTCTTTTGCCTCAATTCCAACTTCTGGCTCTTCCCAGCATTACAGGGTTCTTTTCTGGATCCCCACACACACACCCTCAACCCCTCTGGACATGTGGCCTTCAGTCACTGAAATTGACCACACCTGGTCTAGGTCCTGCCCTACTATTTTGTTGTCACAGAGGTGAAAATAATTCCAGGATTCCTGACTGCTTTCAGAGTATAATTAAATAAGCTGTAAGTAGGTAAGAACCACAAAGGCACAGAAGTTGATTCAAGGTAGCATTGTCAAACCAAAGGAGAAGGAAGGAAACTCTGCAAACATATTAACACATCTCCTGAGTGTTCCTTAGTGTGGCATTGTCCTGAAGGCTCCAGCCTTCACCCCAAGTGCAGGAGTTAATTGACTATAATTGAAGGGATCGGGCTATGATACACTAACAAAACACAGGAAATAGGATACCCAAGTCTGGGCACCAGATAGTCACTGGGGTACTAGATATAACAGCCCAGCTTTTGCAGTAACGATTCATAGTTTTCATTCAGCGAGTCCTCCCATAGTAAAAATGATGGATGTAAATACTAATAGCAGAAGAGAGGATGGAGAGGGTTTATTTGACTTGTAACAATTGAGACTTCAGGAGGAGTTTGTCCTCTGGAATCTGTTGTCTTTCATTATATAGTGGAAGAGTAGTACCTGCTATCCAATAGAAATATAATGCTAGCCACATATGTAAGTTAAAGTTTTTCTAGTAGCTATATTTACAAAAGTAAAAAGTAAAATTAATTTTAATATTTTTATTTGAGTCAAGATATCCAAAATATTTCATATGTAATCAACATATAAAATTATCAATGAGACATCATATTATTTTTCTCTGTATTAAATTTCGATGATGTATATTTTCCACTTACAGCAATCTCAATACGTACACTAAATTTTTATTGGGATTACTGACTGTATATTTAGATCTCATAAAATTTACAATTGAAAAAGTAGATTCACATATTCATGTTGTTCCACACACAATTAAAGTTTTCCAATAACTAAATTGAGCATCAGTTTTTAAATTTAAATTGAGGCAAGGGTATGGAGAAATTGGAACTCTTATGTGTTACTGATAGGAATTTAAAATGGTGCAGCCACTGTGGAAAAGGTATGGCAATTCTTCAAAAAGTTAAAAAGAATTACCATATGATCCAACAATTCATTTCTAGATATATACTCAAAAGAATTGAATGCAAGGTATCAAAGAGATATTTGTACACCAATGTTCATAGCAGCATTATCTGCACTAGTCAAAAGGTGGAAGCAACCCAAGAGTTCATTGACAGATAAATGGATAAACAAAACATGGTATATACATGCAGTGGAATTTATTCAGCCTTAAAACAAGTGTTGGCAGGATGTGGAGAAAAGGGAATGCTGTGCACTGTTGGTGGGACTGTAAATTAGTGCAGCCACTGTGGAAAAAAAGTATGGAGGTTCCTCAAAAAATTAAAAATAGAACTACCATATGACCCCAGCAATCCCACTTCTGGGTAATTTACCTATAGAAATTCAAAACACTAAATCAAAAATATATATGCACCCCTCTACTGCAGCGTTATTTACAATAACAACCTAAGTGTCCATTGACATGAATAAGAAGATGTGGCATACATGTACAATGGAATACTACTCAGTCATAAAAAAGATGAAATATTGCCATTTGCAACAACAAGGAATGGATTTTAAGGGTATTATGCTAAGTGAAATAAGATAGAAAAGGGCAAAAACCATATGATTTTACTCATGTGGAATATAAAACAAAGCAACAAATGAAAAAAAACAGATACAGACAACAGAACGGTGGTTACCAGAGGTGAAAGGGGCTTGGGGGAATGAATTGGGTAAAATGGGTCAAATATATGGTAATGGAAAGAAACTAGACTTTGGGTGGTGAGTACATAATAGAGTATACAGATATCAAATTATAACACTGGACAGCTGAGATTTATATAATTTATTAACTGTTACCTCAGTAAAGTTTTTAAAATAATTTAAAATCCCTGGCATGGTGGTAAGCTCTCTAAACACAAGGACAGAACAATTTAATTCTCTTTATCTTCTATACCATTAAGCACGAACTCAAATAAGTTCTCAATAAGTATTTGTGATTGCTAGAAATGTCTTTTCTGTAGGTGTTCATGCGTATTGTTGAATTAATAGATAAATAAGTGAAAGCTAACAACTTTTTTAAAGTAAAATGCTTTAAAACGAATAGATAAGTGCATTTATTAATCCTTAGGAAGAACTCTCATAAATATTTTAAGTGTTTTAAAATAGAGCAAATGAGGTTTTTGACATCTCAGATTTTATATACATAAAGGCACATTTAAGGGGCACAATTGCCCAAGGGCATATTCAGCACTGGGAAAAGCTATGCTCACAGGAGCTTAGCCACAGAAATGGTGCCTTCCTCAGGTGCAGTCAGTATGAACAAAAACCAACTTTGTGACTCCAAGTCAGCCAATGTCCCCAATAGGAAACTAAATGTTTACAGTTCATATTTTCAAGAAATGCCTAATTGCTTTTCATTGCATTTTCACATTTCAGTAGATTTTTTATAGATTCGATATTCATGACTGCATTGTAGAGTCAGGTGGCCCTTTCACTTAGAGGACAAAAGGAAAGCCTAACCAATAATAACTTATAGGTTGTCAATTAGCAGAAGTCAGACTGGCCAGGACAGAAGCAAGTCATGGCTAGGACCCCTTATTTCACTGTTGAGAAGACTCAGCCCAAGAACCCAGTCTAATGGTCTTCCTCTTAAGCCAGACTAATTATTCACTGTTCATATACATGTGCATTGTGTGTTCCTCACTTTGCACAGTAGTGTGGGACTGTAAAAGTGACCATGCAAGCTGAAACCATGCAAAGCAGTCTTAATGCTCGTTTAAAATTGTTTGCCAAAACATTAAAGACTCTGACAGTTATAAGTGTATTTGGAAATGAAAACAATACTAATATTAGTGTTCTATAATTTAGTATATTACAAACATTGAGAATTAAAATGTCTTTATTTGTAAAAACTTGCCTAGAGTGTTATAATTTGAACAATGCTTGCCTCTTCTTTTCACCATATAGAGCGAGCATTTTTCTATGCATTGGCAAATTGTCATACTTTATAAATCTGAATCACCTTCCAACATTTTCTCCTTTGCATTTTTAATGTCATGAAATATCTCCAAGCCTCCTCTAATGAGTTTTTTGCCAGCATCACTTCCCCCTAGGACACCTCTATCCTTTTTACCACACTTTCCACTTTTATGTTGATAAGCTCCCCTTCAACAAGCTCCAGAACTACAGTCTCTTGAACAGCAGCAGTGTCAACATTCCCCTGGTCAGCAATTTCTTCTAAAACTCCATTTACACTCAATCCCAATTTCACTCCCAGAATTACTACTTTTCATTTACTTGCTGAACTTTCATCTTTGTTGGTCAATTCCCTCTTTCAATCATCCATTTTTGTAAAATTTCATATGGTTTATTTTGGGAGACAAGCAACATACCCACATGCATAAACTAAATAATGCAGTGGTCACCGACAGACTTAAGAGAATTTACCCAACTGTTCGCTGATCATGATGCACACCTGTTATTTACATAATGATTTGTGATCTGCAGAGCTAGCAGCCAAGTGTATATTTTATGCAATTACAGTTATCATACTGTAGTAATTGAAATTTAAACCATGCTTGTTAGGGGACTGGTGTTATGTAACAAAACCAAGTAAGTGAAATTTATTCTTATAGGAATCCTACAAAGCCAGGCCTGGCTGTGTCCAGGTACAATCTAGTAGAGAGTTTAAGAAAAATATAGACTTGAGGGTTCAACAGACTGGTTTAGATCTAAGATCTGTCACTTCCTATCAGGATGTCCTTAGACAAGTCCCTCACCTATAAAATTGATATAAAACTATCCATCTCTCAAGGTTACTATGAGTTGTGAACACGTGTTCCACACAACATTCAGCGGATGCCTACCAAGCATGCGAGAACAAGTAGAATAGTCTAAATTTTCCATAGACAATTCCAAAATTGCTTTCAGATTCTTATTAATGTAATTAAACAGAGGGAAATAAAATACTTTATGGAAGCATATTTATTCACCTTCTTGTAGCCTGAAACCTCTTAACTATTTAAGGCAGTGGTCTCCAACCTTTTTGGCACTAAGGACCAGTGCTCCTGTGAGAATCTAATGCTTGATGATGTGAGACGGAGCTGAGGTGGTGATATTAGTGCTGAGGAGTGGCTGCAAATACAGATGAAGCTTCACTTGCTTGCCTAGTGCTCATCTCCTGCTGTGTGGCCTGGTTCCTAACAAGCCATTGAACCGGTTCCATGGCCCGAGGGTTGGGGATCCCTGACTTAAGATATCTAGTTTTGAGGGGCGGTGAAGGAAGTGAGAATGTCTAAAGCAAGAAAACTTATAACCACCTAAGAGGACAGTTGCCTTATTTCCAGGGAGAAAGGAGGTGGAGTTGAGGTGTACGGTAAGGAAAGGGATGAGGTTCTGCCCAATGTTCTGTTTTTCTGAGTCATATCTACATGGGAGCTTCGTTAATTGGTTTGCAGTAATGTCTAGATTTGCCAGTCTATTTACAAGTGCAAGAATAAACATATTCCAGTAATACATAAAAGTAATATTATCTTTCTGATAATATTTCTAGTAGTTTTCTATGTCACTGCTCTTTTCCAAGAGTATATACATAAAAGTACAGCTAAATTGGTGAGTCACAGGCATTAAGGTTAACAAGGTAGATGACTCAGTCTTTATTAGCACTTTTTCCACTCCTATAAAATGGTCATTCAAGAGAGTGTAAGAACTTTTTCTCTGATGCGGAGAATGCTCCTCAGATTTTGGTGGTATCCAGAAAAATTAACGTTAATAATAGGCAGTTGAGTCCTGTAAAAACAAAGAGAGACAGCTTGTTTCAGAAGGCTCCCGGACAACCTGCAAATGAGTTTGCTGCAATGAGGCCCCAAAGTTTGGAGAAACTGTGAAGGACAAAGGGCTAGAATAACGGAAACAGGTGGTTCTCCCAATATTCAGAAGAGGGGAATCATGGCGGAAATCACTGTTAACATTTTCAGGTACAACCTTCTAGAACTTCTTAATGTATATAGATATATATTGCACATTTAATCACAATACCAGAATACATCATTTTAGGAAAATGTACACTGGACTACTTAAAAGAAAAAAGCTCTGCTGCCATAGGTCAAAAAGGCAGCAGAGTTAACTGCTTGTCAGATCAGGTGATTTCTCTCTCCCAGATGTGTTAAGTAGGAGAGCACTAAGAACTCAGCCATGTCACTAAGTACCCATTTATTGTATAGGTACAACTAAAACTTTGAGTGGCCTTCTGCATCTATCAAGGTTCAAAGAGAGGAACAGAACCGCCAAGAGATGTGTATGTATAATTTGTTACAGGGATTTGATAGTTATGCCACTGTGGGAGCTAGTTAAACAGAAGGGAAGATGAATGTAAAGTGGAGGACAACAAGAACAAGCTGGAACTCACAAGTCAGCTGGAGCTGAATTCACTCAGTTCTCCTTGTTCTCCTTGCTTCTGACCTTGGTAGTGGGGGCGTCTAGTAGAAAACCCTTCCTTGCCGAGCTCAACACACACTTGGCCAAAGAGTCAGAGAAGTTAAAACAGGATCCAGCAGGAGGTGAAGCAGTTGAAAGGCTGGCTACTGCCGTCCACCAAGGAGGATAAGGGACGGCAGGTTCCATGCCCAAAATCTCACGCAAAAATCTCTCTCATAGTTCCCTCCCCAACCAGAAATACATAGGGAAGGAAACTCTGGGCAATGTCCTTTAGCTTAGGCAGGCTGATACAGCATGAAGCCACAGCCCCTGGTTTCTTTATAGCATCCCATATGGCCTACCCCTTGGGGTGCCCTGACAAGAGCAAGAGTCCAGGAAGTTTTAGTGGCTCCTGATTTGAGGCTGTGATGCAGAAAAGTTTGGATTTCTTCTTCCTTGTACAGAACAGGAGTAAACCCTATTCCATCTTTTTTTTTTCTCTCTCTCTCTCTCACTACCACTCACACACACCAAACCACTTTACTTAACTGATCTTTAATTTATAAACTTTTTTTTTCTGTTCTAGGTCAGAAACTTTCAAAGTCAACATTAAGAACTCCTTTTAGGAAGATAAAAATCTCAAATTCGTTCCATTTTTCCAGGATAAAACTTGGGGTTTATTTTTTAATAAATAAAGTGTTCAAAATGTAATATTAGCAGGACATACTGCTGCTTAAAAAAATCCCAAGTGATAAAAAAGAGAACTTCTAGCAAAAGCATAAGTAGTAAAAATGTTTACATATAGTCAGATTTCAGAGGGAGGACTGGAACCCACATAACCTGGGCTTACACTTCTGACCTATTATTACCTCTTTCCCAAGTGAAGATCAGGAATCATTGGCCAACCTTGGCCTCTGCTCATTTGCCTTTGGGGAGCACAAAGAAGAACCAGAGGCAAGAGAGGCTGAGGGGCTAGTACTCAGGAGGAATGTGGGGCTAATGCAGGCACCTCAGTGTCAAGCTCCCTTTCACCAATCCAATCATGATGATTTTGAAATAGTAGCTGCAGTGGAAAGGAACTGTTTTAACCATATTATCTTGGGTGAGGTATGGTGAAGTCAGATGCAAATCAAGAGAGAAACTAGAAAGAATTTTCCATTTTTTTAATACTCACAGCTCTTGGGGGAACACAGCATGCCACCCAAGGGAAGCACCAGGTCAGTCACAAGGCAGAGTGAGGGCAAACTGAGGGCAAGCACCTTCATTGTGGCTTTTGCTGGAAGGAAAGTATTAGGGCAAACAGGTTTAGAATTGGCTAATTTGAATAATTTCAGTGAGCTCTGGGGCACAGGAGCTATCCTTCGTTGTCCGATACCTGGCCCTGGGGCAATTGGGGTAGGTATATTGTGGCACAGAGTGTGTGAGAGCCTGATAAGGGAGTTGTTTAGTGGTATGGACTTAATCAGCTATTCAAGAAGAGGAACCGACCAGCCTCTAGCCCAGGCCTCAAAACTGGATCAAGATAGCACACACCTACCCACATAAACTATATTACAGGAAGCAATATTTTTAAAGAAATTTATGTAAATGGACTACACATTTTGTTACTCCTCTGATCTCAAAACTTCGATACTCCCCACTGACTATATTTTATCTTCAAAATTTTTCTCAAATTTTGAAATGTTTCATCATTCAAAAATTGTATAATTGCTTTTTAAAGAATTGAAAAGCACCTCTGTTTATCTGTAATTTTTGTCCAAAAACAAAGAAATAATTCAAAATATCAATATCTCATGTTTGTACAATAGCTATAATTTTGTTTTAAATATGCACAATTTTTTAAATGAAGTTGCCGTGAAAGGCAGAGAGAAGCTGCAAGCTGCCTTGCACCTAGCACATCCTTTCTTTTTTTCCAGTTTTGTAATTGACATAACAGTACACTGATCCAAATGTTTTCTGACTCTCTTGAGTCCTCATGGAAATGAAGATGTCTAACTGTACACATTTTGGGGTGGGAAAACTCATCAGCAGGCTAAAAGCTGACAACTTGGAATGGAGAGCTAGACCTTAGCTCACCAACGTCCAAGCCAGGGCTTGCTGCAGGCCCAGCATGCTGAGGAAATGGTCAAAGTAAGGCAGCCACTGAACACTGCCCAGTCTCTACCTGCAGTCTTTTGCTAGGCAAAGACACCATTTCAAGCAAGTAACCATCAGGCTCAGGGGATGCCATAACCCCTAACACAAAGTGCTGTTTGAAAGTACTGTAAAATACCCTGAAAGAACTTCATACCCAGAGATCCAGCCTTCTGTGGTGGTGACTTACTTCTTAATAAGCATTGGTGCCACTTCAAAGATGCATTTTCTATATTGATCAAGAAAATTAATCAGACGAAGCTGTGACTGCTGACTTTCCTGCATCCCGCCTGGGTTATCTTATTCCTCATCTCTGCCTACTAGAGCACCTGGCCTCAGAGTGAAACATTACATTCGGACAGGACCTATACTGTTGTTGGAAAGTTCAATTTGCTTTCTCAGTTCATTCTGTCCTTCTCTCATATGGGAAAGGGAGGCAGAGAAGGGACTTGTGAGCCAGCCTGAAAGACCTCTCACTGGGCTCGAGTTCAGCAGTTAAGAGTGTAGACTCTAGAACCAGAATGTCTCAGCACCATACCCAAACTTGCCACCTACAAGCTGAGTGATCTTAGGAAAGTTACCTTAACAACTCTGTACCTCAGTTTCCTTCCTCTAAGTGCAATGATAGTAATAACATCTACTGCTGTGTTACTACAATGCTTAAATGAGATTAAGTATTCAGAATAGTGCAAAGCGCAGTGAAGTGCAATACATGTTAGCTATTATTGACAGATACTGTGATTTTGAGTAAGAGCCTTCACTGAGCTGTGGTGATCCTGTTTGCCTACTAGCACTCTCCTGGAGAAGGGGTGTGGTCAAAGCTTAATTCAAAAAGTATTTTTTCAGGGGTTATCAACTAGAAAATTTTAATAGACTCTAGACAATACAAACCTCTGTATCATTTGTTATGGACTAGTGATTTTCAGAGAGGAGTTTAAAACTTAAAATATTGAAAGTTATTAGATTTGTGATAATCTGTATATATAAACAACAGGCAATAAACAGGCAGGTCAATCTGTAAGAGGATACATCTTGGGGTGATCTTCATTTGTCATGAATGGAATTTTTAAACCATGGACCCTAGAGGTGCATCTCTGTATAGGTACTCAAGAATCTTGGGGTGATCTTCATTTGTCATGAATGGAATTTTTAAACCATGGACCCTAGAGGTGCATCTCTGTATAAGTACTCTCAAGAATAAAAAAAAAAAAAAAAAAAAAAGTCTCTTTAGATGTCAGAGTTTAGGTGAGACACTTTTTGGACACAGAGATGAAAAGAAAGGGTAGAGGCCCCTATGGCCCCACAGCTGAGGTGGTCCAAGTAGACCAGGTGTTGCAAGCATTCTCCAGTTGGTGAGATAGGCCAGACATTTGTGAAAAAGGCCTGGGATCTCTGGCACCAATGAACAATTCCAGCCCTCACTGTGGAAGAGGGACTATATGTGACTATGCTGGCATTTGTATCATAGTGGACTCCTGGAATGACTTTTTAGACTAGGGGCAGGCTCACAATCAGGCCAAGGCCCTAGCCTTTCATTCAGAGACTAAAAAAGATTATTGCATCATTGATGAATGATGAACTGTCAGACTTGAGATCAAAGAGCCCCCTTGGCTCAGAGGCCCTCTTAATGGACTACATGAATATATCTCTTGGACCTGGTTTCACAGTCCTTAAATTTGGAAGCATCGCAATTTTTTGGTATAATTTTAATATTTGCCTCAGATTGGGTACACAAAATTTCTGTCCAGAAACAGACTTTTCTACAGCATGAACTGTGGAGTTATTGTGGGGTTTCTTAATACCTACGATTTTTGTAGGACCCATTTTCTGTAATTTTGCCTGATTTTCACTTTGTACATTTTCACCTCCTCAAACAGCTCCTCTCTCTTTTTTTTTCTTGGAAACAGCTTCTTTTGACAAACTGTGCTCCTTTCTCTATCATCGCCAATCTTAATGACATTATTCCAAGCACTCTCTTAATTTAAACTGGTGGTTTTTAAAGTAATCTGCTTAACCTGATTTTTTTTCCTCTTTATGAGGCATTTTCCAAAATAAAATGGTAATAATTTACTCTATAACATATCAAGAACATCTGCTCCACCGCCTCAGGCGGGGTAGCCATTTCCAGCTAGCCAGCCGATCGGCTCAGGCACTCTTCAACTAAAAACGCTGCATTACCCCTGGGTCGTCTGGGTCACCTTCAGAGGCTTTGAGTCTTCTTAGCCCAAGTGATAAATACGTGAGCAACTTCAACCTGTTAATTCCTCCCTAAATCCTGCCCTCAGAGCCTCCTTTATCCATCTCCGGTATCCTCAGTTCCCTTTCTTCCTCGGCAGAAAACAACTCTCATTTGCTTCTCTCACGCTGGTCTTCAATTCTGCGTCCTCTGGGCTCACTGAGGGGGTTCTCCCAGTCAGTGCCTTCCGGAGGGGTCGACTGACCTTTCACCTCCAGAGCCGCTCCCCTCCACGCATGGCCCTCTCCTTGCGTTCAGGCCCCACCCCCCCGTCCCGCTGACCAATCCCCAGCTCCGCTCCAGATGCGTCACAATGGCGCCCTCGCGGCCCCGCCCCCGGACGCCTGACATGGAGACCCCGCCCCGCCACGGTCTTTGCGTCTTTCCGGTTCCGTAGTGAGAGTAGGACTGCGTCGCGTCCTCCTGGAGAAGGTGGGGTTCTGTGGGGAAACTGACCTGCGATCGCGCGGGAAGCCAGAAGCAGGGTGGGGCTTGGGCTCCTGGGTGCTGGGGCGCAGGGCTGAGTGTGGGCCGGGCACGCTCAGAGTAGCGGCGCTTCCAGAAGCGCCGCGTGCGCACGACGGGCGGGAGTTGTGGACTTAGGCCGGCCGCGCGCCTGACTTCCCCCCCAAAGCCCCGCCCAGGGCGCGCTGCCAGGGGTTTCCATGGTGATGGTAAACAAGTTTCAACTGCCTCAGCTACAACTGCCAAGTCTCCCACGTTCCACCCTCCTCTAGGTGCTCAGAGGGACGTCCGAGGTGCCGGATGTGAAGAGCGGGAGCGTGGAGACTCGGAGCCCGAGGTGAGGTGAGGGGCAGGACGGGTGGAAGCTCCGAGGCCGAGAGCAGCTTACCCGGGATCAACCCGGGACTGGGCCCCTAGGGGGTTTGGGCGGCGGGGCTGTGATTTGAGGTCAGGGGAGAAAGGGTCTGAGGTCAAGGGCCACACATCCGGATACTGACGGGGGGCTGAGCCCACTAGAGGTTGGGCGGCTCAGCTGAGATTTGGGTGTGTGGGAGGTGAGCCTCAGGTCGGAGCCCTGATCTCGGGGCTGAGATTGGGGTCAGGAGAGGCAAGGTCCGCGGCGAGGGAGGAAGGGAGGGCCTCATGTGGGCTCCAGGGGGAGCAGAGCCGGAGAGCCCCTGCCGGGAATAGGGTGAGGGCACCGGACTATGATCGGAGAGGGAGTTCATTTAAAAATGAAAGCAGTACCTCCACGTGGCTGAAACGCCCGGGAGTTGCACTGGACTGGTTGGGAGCTGACTCCTCCCCCTCCCACGTTCCCGCTCGCCTGGCCTTCACTTTCGGCCTTTGCGGCCTTTCTTCCTCTTGGTGCGGCGTGTGTGCTGTGAGCGCCTGTCTGCGTTCATCTCCTGCTTAGAGAGGTACTGTGTCTGTATTTTGGCTGAAACTTGTTTCCCGTTGTATGTATTTGCCTGGTGATCATACTTCTGAGCGAGCTTAATTAGCGGCCCTTTCTTTTTCCTTTTCTTTTTCTTCTTTGTATCTTTGGATATATTTGCTGTTTCTTGACTTCGCCTAAGAAACTTCTGGACGTTGTTGACTCTCGCACTGTTCCCTCTGCTTCCCGGGTTCCGTGTGGTTCACAGAAGGTGGCCTGGGTGACGCCGCGCCAGTCGCGGGTACCCCACCGACCTTAATCTTACAGAAACGGTTGGGAATCCACAAGCCCGGAAGAGCCCCCCTCCCTTTTCTGGGAACCTGTGAGACTGCCGCCCGGCGGGTCCCCGCGGGACGTCCATTGCGATAGTTTTCTTGCCCTGGAAGCCCGAGGAAGAACGAACGTGCTTCCTTACCTGTTTTTCACAACTGTTTGCGGGGCGCCGAGGGCTCATGCCTGCCACTGAGGGCCGGGTGGATGGCGGGAGAGGAGCTCGCGATCGGCTTCGCGCCGAGGGGAGACGGTGCGGCAGCGGCTGCTTCCTGGAACCACGCGGGTCCACCCGGGTTGGGAGGAGGAGGGCCGAAGCGCCTGAAGGTTAGGGGCGGCCCTTAGGTGCCCCGAACCCGGTGGTGGAGGGAGAGTTTTCTGAATTTTTAGCAATGAAAATTTTTAGGTAAGAGAAAAATACCGTAGGATCTATTAGTGAAAAGTGATGTTTTCGGTGCTAATTTCTAGACAAGTTTTCTTCATTTTAAAATAAGTGAGCAAAATTTTACTTTTAATGAATATTGGGAGAGTGCTTTGTCACATGTCAAGCGAATCTACCCTTTGCCTTGGGGATCTCATGTTCCTATATGCGTTAGTGTAAATCGATTAGGTTTGTTATTGCCATGTTATTGGTCTTATTTTTTAAAAAATTTTAATAACATTCTTTTTATAGTATTTGCTTTTGTTACCTTTTTAAATTGACAAGTGATTGGTTTCCCCTTAAAAGACTATTGTAACAAAGCTAATAGTAAACAAAATAATCAAGTAAAAATATGAGTTGACTTAAAGGAAAAGATCGATTAAACAGGTGGGTTAGTTCTTGTATAAAGCCAAAACTGAAGGAGAAAGTGGAGACATATGGTTCCCATCAAGATAGGTCCTTGAACCGCTGCAGTAACGGGAAGGGGGGCGTCCTTCCACTTTGACATTTTCCCCTCCCCTAATCTCAGCTCTGGCACTCGAGGCTCTTTGTAGAACCACATTAATTGACCCTTACTGGGTCCAGGCACAGCGCAAGGTGTTTTACAACATTTTATTAATCACATGCTCATGATCAGGCTATATAAGGGGGTATTGCTGTTATCCCCATTTAACAGATGAGATAATGGTAGCCAGGACATAAGTCACTTGCCCAGTGACACAGCTGAGACTAGGACAGCCCTCCCCAACATGGTTGCCCTGAACCAGAGTTCTTGTGGAAGAGAAAAGGCAGGGCAGAGGGAGAACCAGATTCAGCTAAGACCAGCCTGACTTATCTTGCAGCACATCCCAGACATAATAAGATTTTTGTCCATAAATATTGCAGCTTGTATTTCTAAGGACCTTTTAACATGTAACCATAATACCATCGCACTTCTAAAGAAATAATTCTTTGATATCAACAAATACCCAGTGTTCCAGTATATCCGATCGTTTAATAAATGTTCATACAGCTGGTGCCACCTTATATTTGGTAGATTGTATTTCTTAAATTATGTTTTAATCCAGATCAGTGCTGTTCAATAGAAATAAAATGGAAGCCACATACGTAATTTTACATTTCTAATAGTAAATACCAGATGTAATTCACTTTAATAATTTAGTTTAACCTAATATATCCCAAATATTCATCATGTAAATTTTTAAATTATATTTTGCTTTTTTTCCAAACTAAGGTTTCAAAACCCAGTGTGTACTTTATATTTACAGCACATCTCAATTTGTACCAGCCACATTTCGAGTGTGACAAGTGGTTACCTTATTAGTGATGATCTAGAGGTTCTCCATTCTTAAAAGATTCTTTGTTGAACAAATCAGATTGTGTCATGTAGAGTTACTTCCTCTCTGGGTTTTTTTGATTGCATTCCTCCAGTGGTGTTTGAATCTGTACTCTGCATCTCCTATAAAATGGTAGTTACTGCTAGAGGCTGTTCTGCTTCCAGAGATTTTTTAAGGAAATTATTATTTGAGGTACTGTGTACTGCCAGAGGGCACATATTGATTGGTTAGATTACCCCTTTGTGATGTTAGCAGCCTTTGATCATTCCCTAGACCCATTGTTTTGCTAATGGTTTCCAAAATAGTTTATGTATTTTAAATATTCCTTCTCATTTATTAGCAGGAATACCTAGGAAACTTCTTTGTTATTTCATTGCTCTAAGATGTACTTTATAAAAGGCAGGTTTTGATTCCTTCCTTGGGTTTATCAATACCCAGCATAATAAATTGAATCTCTCCATGTGCCAAAGACAGTTTACTGGTATCGTTACGCAGTCATGGATTTTAACATATAGGATGTGTTTTAATGTAGGTTTTATTCCCTTTAGTTCCCAAATGATACACTTTTTGGACAGTGGGAGCCCTTCATATTGGTTCCTGGCTTCATTGGTTTAAGATATTAATATTTCATTAAGTGGATCCACCAAAGTTTATTTGACAGGACCTATAGCAATGGGCATTTGGGTTGTTGCTGGTCTTTTCCTATTGGAAATAGTGCAGAGAATATTGTTTGCAGATGTCTTTTCTCTTTTTTCATTATAGGATTAGAACCATATAGTTTATTATTTCCACAAACAGTATTTGAGAGTTCCTGCTTTTTATCTGTAGCTTTGCCACGGCATTGTGTTAGTAAACTTCTGTATTTTTGACAATGATAAGCATTTTGAAGTGTTATTTCATTTAAAATTTTTAAATTTTCGTTTATTTTACATAAGTGAGGTTGAGCATCTTTTCATGTTTAAAGGCTTTTTTTTTTTCTGTCAGCTGTCCATACCACTAGCCCTTATTGTTTGTTTGGATTGTTGGACATTTTCTCTTTACAAGCTTTTTATTAATAACACAGGAAATAAATTACAGATATCTTTCCCATTTTATCATTCGTATTTTTGCTTAGCTTACAGTGTTTTTAGCCATGTATAAGAGGCTTAGTTTTTAATGTAATCAAAATTTCCAGTATTTTCCTATGTTCTTGTGTTTGGGTCATGGTCAAGAAGTTCCCTGCTCTCAGTTTATAGAGGAATTCATCTATTTTCTATTCTATTATTTAGGATTTTTCTTAGTATTTCTTATAAAACATGAAAAATTCTTAGTTAACTTACATTTTGCCTTTGTCATTGTGAACAAATTGCAGTGATAATTAACTTTGAAATGATGAATTACGATTGCATTCCTGGAATAAACCCAACTTGGTCATGATATATTATTACTTTGTGTATTGCTAGACTTGGCTAATTTGGCTAATAATCGTTGGCTAATATTTATTTAGGATTTTTTTTCCTCTGAGTTCATGAGTGAAATTAGCCTGTGAAACTTGATAAACTAATTCTAAAACTCTTGGAAATGGAAAATCATTTTCAGATTGATTGTAGATCAAAAGTAAAAATGCAGATGCAAACGACAGAGCTTTATAAGTTAAAAATCCACGTGACCTTGTGCTAGGAAAATTTCTCTTAAACAGGAAATAAAAAGTGATAATTGAGGGGAGGATGACAGATTAGAGTGAAAAATTTTAAACTCCTTTTAGGTTTCTCCTGATAATGTGCCTCTTTTTCAAAAATTGTCACCTAGTTTGAATATTACAGATTCCTATCTTTTTCCTTATAAGTCTGTATTTACATTGCAGAGAAGACCATCATTGCCATTTCCATTCTTCATCTTCCCTAATTGAGGTCTCTGTTCTGCTTGACATAATATTTGGTAGAATAGCACTGTCCAATAGGACTATAATATGAATGACAAATATTGTTTTTTTCATTTTAAAGAGTTCAATTCAGAGGTTTTTAGTACAGTCACAAAAATGTAAAAACAATCACCACTATCTAATTCTGGATCATTTTGAAAAACCATTAAGCATTTCTGGGATAAATTCCACTTTGTCGTGGTGTATGATCCTTTTTATTATATGTCGCTGGATTTGGTTAGTATTTTGTGGAGGAATCTTGCATCTATAATTGTAAGGGGTATTTGTAGTTAACCTTTTCTTGTGATCTGTTTGGTTTTAGTATCAGTGTATTAGTTCACTAGGGCTGCCATAAACAAAATACTACAGGCTGGATGGCTTAAACAATAGAAATGTATTCTCTCGCAGTTCTGGAGTCCAGAATCCCTAGATCAAGGTGTCAGCAGGGCTGGTTCCTTGAGGGCCATGAGGAAAGGATATATGTTCTAGACATCTTATGTAAGAACACCGGTCATATTGGAATATGACCTCATTTTAACTTAATTGCCTCTGTAAAGACTCAGGCACATTCTGAGCTACTAGGGTTTCAGCATATGAATTTTGGGGGCAAAATTCAGCCCATAACACAGGGTAATACTGGCCTTGTAGAATGAGTTAGGAGACTTTTAATATTTTAATTTAGTATATGTTAATACATTTTTACTAACTCAGTACATCCAAAATAGCATTTAACATGTAATCAATATTATTTAAATGAGAGATTTTACATTCTTGTTTTAATCATTGCAATTCCGAGTACATTTTATACTTATAGCACATTTCAAGTGCTCGGTAGCTACATGTGGCTAGTGGCTACCATATTTTTATTCTTTGTACCTAACTTGTTCTTTTTCCAAAGCAGATTTTCTCTATACTTAAAAAAATCTAAGTGTTTTACCAACATATGCCTTGCGTTGTCCCTTTAAAATATCTGTTGGGAACTACATGATTATATCAAGCTAGGAAAATTTCCTTCCATTCTTTATGTTTTCTTGCCTCCATTTGTGCCTTTTTCTCCTGGAATTTTTGTTATTCACATGTTATTTCTCCTGTCTGCTGTTATATCTTATGTACTCCAAATTTCATATCTTTTTCCCATTTGTTTTTTTTTTTAACCTTTGAGATATTTTTTCAACTTGGTTTTTCAGGCCATTATCCTTTCAATTGATTACTAACTTTATAAATTTGAAACTCAATTTTTAGTATGAGAAAGTTTAAGTTTCTAATTGAGAATCTGAAAGTGCTTTTTTTTTTGTTATTTTGTTAAAAGTTACAATTTTTGTCCAGCACTACTTTTTCTCTGAAAACTGCTGTTCTAAGCTATTGTCTGATGTGTGGTATTCTCTCTGGGTGCTTGAGCCCTTCTTAAGTACATTGTCATATTCCTTTCCTCCTTATGACTCCAGTCCCCCAGGACTATGTGCTGTGGTGGTGTGGTCCCTGAGCAGCAAACACTGAGCACAAGGTGCTACAACATTCTCCACTCTTGCAGCAGCTGCATGGGACCTGACAAAGTATCATCAGCTCTCCACAGAGCCCCAGGAGGATGCTCTAGGCCCCCTGAGGGACACCTTCTTGAGGGGTCCTTGGGCATGTACTGCAAAGATCTCCCTGGAGACCATAAACTCCAGAATCTGACTGCTTGCCCACTCAGGAGCTGCTTGCTTCAGAGGAGAGAGCTACAACAAACTTGGTAGGGAGACTTGTCCTCTTAGCAACTGTAGATTCTTTACTGGAATCTCACCCACCCCCATACACACCCATTTCTTAGACAGACTAGAATCATGTTTCCTACTATGGGGAGAGCACTACCAATTAATACAGATGATTACATTTTTCCCTCAATGGAGAAGTGTTATATTTAGCAGTGGTTCTAAAGACTTCACCTGATACTTGTAAATTTTCTCTATTGTAACTTTA